GTTCATCTGTTTCACCCAGTTGAAGAGCTCATAATTTTGAATCTGATAAATTCTTCGTAGAGAACTCCTATGAAGAAGATAAAGAATAGATTAAAAAAAAAAAAGAAAGCATAAATCAAAGAGTAATCTTAAAGTCTAAATTCATAGTAGTAGCCCAAGAGAAATAAGCAAACAGACTTTTAATCTTCCAGGACCACTGCCTCCAGGCCTAATTTGAATTCAACTCTTTAGAGTTAGAGTATGTGAAACACAGTAAAGTGTCAAATTTAGGGCTGAGTACTTTGGCTGAATTCTAACAAAGCAGGTAAGCATATTAAACTTCAAGTTTTTATGCAGCTGCACTAACTATGTCCATTCATGAAATCATCCGCTGTCCAGAGGCTTGCTGAACTTAGGGTTTTTACCACTTTTTATCACTTTTAAAGTGAATATCCCAATTATTCCCATTTACTGTGCTTTACTTCCTGTCATGAAGCAGTATCAGAAATTGCAAACTGGATTCTTTATTAACTAATTACAAATTGAAAACTAACTACAAGATGATATCTGAGTTAAACGCTCCTGAAACATATGTAGTGTGGGTGTTGCGTACTCGACACCAACTGTTGTGCTCTACAAGCCTTCTCCTGTGGGCTGCACCACTCCCTCATGCAGGTGTAACCTCAGCCTTCTGAGGGGAACTCTGTCTTTTTGCAGTCAGGCTGGTTCTTGAGGTTTAAGGACAAAAGTGGGCATGTTCCCCTCTAGTTCAGAGCATTTGAAGAGCGAGTCTCAGATATTTAGAAAATAGGAAGCAGCCTAGGTAGATTACAGAAAGGGGTAGGAAAACCCCAGCAAGAGTGGATTTTTAATTTATACAGAATAATTATTTTATGTTTGGTCTGCCTCAATCAGCCTCAAAAAATATGCAGTTTGTAAAGCTAGAGATAACGGCACAGAATGCCAATATACATGTGTGTTTGTGTGGACTACGTGTTGCTTGGGTTCAATATCACTGCACTAGAAAAGATTATTAGCGTTATTAGAAAAGAAATGAGAATACATCCTGAATTCCTTCATTTAAGAAAGTAGGTAAATGCTATTTTTAGCACTTTAATATTACCTTTCTTCAGAATATGTAAACATATGATGTAAACATGAATTTACATCTATCAATTACGTTTAATAAATACAAGATTTACATGTATGATATAAAAAGAAGAAAAAGGCTACAATGTGTAGCTAACCCCTCAAAAATTCACTCAGACTAACACATGGAGTTTGGTTCTTAGCTGAACTAGAGAGAGTTACTATTTATGTCTAACCTCTTTCTTTTTCCGTGTTTTTTTCTTCTGTGTTGTACGACAACATAATCTTTGAAGATGCTGTTGCTGGAATTAACCACTTCTCCATATACCAGAGCACTGGCATCCTGAATTTGTTACATCAAAGGATATTGACTGAGAAAACAAATAATTAAATGACCCGTAACACAGGTAAATGATACTCTTGGGATCAAAGGACTCCCCTATGAATACCGAGTGCTGCTGTGTTCTGCCAGTCATAGAAAGTGTCGTTTTGTTGCAATGGCTGTAGTGAGGTAGCTTTTGTCAGTCCTTCAAAGCGAGAGTTTTCCAAACAGGATCTTCCTGTTTGTTTTCCTTGTTTGCTAATTGTTCAGAAAATACTAAGATGAATGTAAGACTTGGTCAAATATCAATTCATATGACATGGCTACATTAGTACCTGCAGGCTAGGCTTCTGAACCACTTTCAAGTAAGGCAGTTATCAATAATGTGTTTTGGAAACGGATGGAGATAACTGACTAAGAGTTTTCCGGTGCAAAAAAATATTATTAAAAAGATATTACCTTTCAATATTCTCTTGATCCAAGACCGTTGTTTTTAGTCTTTGAAAGTGAGTTAAGCTTAAGATGTTTAAATCACTCTTCTCTAGTACGAGTGCCCATGTAGGAAGCTAGGGTGGAACAGCTACTATAGCTGTGGCTTAGACTGTTAAGAGCTTGGTCGCACAGAAATGTTGTAATGTGCCTTCCTTAAGTAAGTTTTCCTAGGAATCATGGATGTGTCTGTCAGCGGCTCTGTCCTCTGTTCCTTTATTTATTTCTCACTTTTTTTGAATATGAAAATCTTATTCACCTGCCAAGGTTAATACTTCACTATCATTAGCTTTGAACTAGGTTGGATATTTCACTGTGGGGCAAATAAATCATGAAACTAAGTGTCTACATGAGTATTAGAAAGCAGGTTCTATTCTGTGCCCTGAAGCAGTTATTCTTCATGTTATAGCTTTTCTGAATATGATGGATAAGAGCTGCTCTCCTGCAGCAAAATAATTTGAAATATATATGTGTGTGACATTATACTTAGAAGAGGAAAAAATTAAAGGCATTGTGTTTGTCTAGAATTGATGGCTGGATCACCAGCTAATATAAATTTACATACCGCTATTCAGAGTCAGACATATTACTAAATGACTCAGTGCTAAGAATCAAAACTTGAATATGTTGCCTGGTACTATAAAAATATTTCCACTCAAATTGAAGTTATACAGAAATCTATAGCTGCAAGAATTTTTGGAAGATTTACTAAATACTGTCTGTTATTGTAAAACATGTTCAGATATACGTCTAAATCATTATCTCATGGACTTCACCTGTTAGGCTAGTATATACAACTTCTATACTGCTGTGATGGTAATCTGCTATGATTAATTCTTTATGCATTTTCATGTAAAATAATTGTTCACATACATTTGTTATCTTTCTTACTATTTTTTATTGCCTCATTCAAGTTCATGGCTTGGATCCACTTTGTTGGTGAGGTATTTTACATCACTTTTAAAAATTAACTTTCTCAACTAATAGTGCTCTTTCTTTTCTGTTTGTTATTGTCAATAACCTACTAAAGTTTAATAAAGGGAACAATAGTCAGCAGGAACTAAATCTATTAGTCTATGCATAAAGAATACACTTTATGGGTTGAACTAAGGAGCAAGACCCACCAAATCTCAGAATAAGAAAATTATTTCACCTGTACTGTGTCTGTATTAGAAAGGATTGCTTCCCCTTTGCAGTCTCTCTTATGGGATGTGGCCATTAGGATGAACAAGTCACTCCCAGAATTACAGTTCCACTTCCATAACTTGTGCCTTGATCAGGAATGGGCCATTAAGTCTAAGCTGTTTCCTAACTGAATTATACTCTAAAAATCTTCCTAACTTTGACAAAAATGGATTTATGTTACAGGAAAGACTTATCTAATGCCAGGGTCTTTACTTGGGTTCCCTGCAGCTGAGAACTTTACCATACATGATAGAAGTAATAACGTTAGTGCTGGCAGGAGGAGGAGGATACTCAAGAAGTGCAGAAATTACCTGCAGAAAGGTTTGGAACTGTTCAGGATAGAAGATGGTGTGTTGTCTTCTTACAGAACATAATAAAGCATAAGTAGAACAATATCTTGGAACTTTGGATAATAATAGAAGAGAGCACAGAATTTTAATCTGGTAAAGTATAACTGCATGTCCCTAGTAAAGGGTCTTCCTCTTTACTGTGTGTTCATGGTTGCTTCTTGTCTCTTAAGGGTTAGACAAATAATTAGGTGATGATTGTATGACACCTTTAATGTTCTAGCGGCTTTTATAACTGGAAATCATTAAAATTAGTTTTGTTGTGACTGGACAATAATGTAAGAAGTGATTCTATCTCCATATAGCATTATAGAATCATAGAATCATAAAATTGTCTAGGTTGAAAGGGACCTTTAAGATCATTTAGTCCAGCCTTCAGCCTGTCTCTGAGTAAAAACCATCACTAAACCATGTCACTAAGCACTGTGTCCACCCGTCTTTTAAATCCCTCCAGGGATAGTGCCTCAACCACTTCTCTGGGCAGCCCATTCCAATGCTGGATAACCCTTTCAGTGGAGAATTTGTTCCTAATATCCAATCTGAACCTCCCCTGGTGCAACTTGAGGCCGTTTCCTCTTGTCCTGTCGCCTGTGATGTAGGAGAAGAGACTGACCCCCACCTCTCCACAACCTCCTTTCAGGTAGTTGTAGAGAGTGATAAGGTCTCCCCTCAGCTGTCTTTTCTCTAGGCTGAACAACCCCAGCTCCCCCAGCCTCTCCTTGTAAGACTTATTCTCCAGACCCCCAGCAGCTTTGTTGCCCTTCTCTGGATCTTCTCCAGCACCTCAATGTCTTTTTTGTGGTAAGATGCCCAAAACTGGACACAGCACTCGAGGTGGGGCCTCACCAGTGCCAAGTACAGGGGGACAATCACCTCCCAAGTCCTACTTACCATGCTGTTCCTGATATAGGCCAGGATACCACTGGCCTTCTTGGCCACCTGGGCACACTGCTGGTTCACGTTCAGCCAACAGTCGACCAACACCCCCAGGTCCTTTTCTGCCAGGCAGCTCTCCAGCCATTCTGCCCCAAGCCTGTAGCGCTGCAGGGGGTTGTGGTGACCCCATCCTATTGGCCTTGGCCCATCTGCCAACATGTCTGTGAAAGACTCAGTCTTTGCCTTTACAAGAAGGTTGAGTTGATTTACTATGAAACATTTTTAAAGTAATACAGCTCCTGTGTGGATATTCTTATTTCTGAGTGTTTTCTTCACAGTTCAGCTTAAATGTGTTTGCAATCAGATTCTTAACTAAGATCCAAAGTGTATGATGATTAGAGGATCTCTTCATGCAAAGAGAAATTTCTTTGCAGTCTTTAAAGTTAGGTTTTGCGTTGAGAGTCTTCAAGATGAAGTTGAAATTAATCTGTCCCTGGTGTCAGCTTCTGTTTGCAATATCAACTTCACGAGTAGTATTTTTCACTCTTATACCTCTTCTAATTGTAAGGCAACATTTTACTGCCTATACCAGAGTTACCTGGTATCCAATCCTGGTATGCTCTCCCCTTTGAAAGTGACATTATAAAGCTTCTTAAAGGTATGCCTCACTTAGCATGCAAAGTAAGACAGAGGCCACTTAAAACACAGCTGGAGAATGTGCACATATATTTTATTTTATATTTAATTCTGTAATTTAATGACTTTTTTTAATACACTTACTGTACTAGGAAGTCAGTCCCATATATCTTCTATTAGTTAAAAGATTGGAAAGTTAACTGTACTTCTGTTTAGAACACATGCAAAAACTTGGACTGTAGCTCACAAGCAGGATTGAACATGTGTGCTTGGTTTGGATATTCCAAGCTACAATTCTGAGTTGTGAAGTGCTCTCTTATCTTTGTGTCAATGCTGAACATTTTTTCCTGCTTGTATCTCCCTATAAACATGAGTTGTTTTGGATGAGAACACTGGATGAGCAACAGTGGTTTTTAATCAAAATAACTGCTCTGTAGACTAAATGTCTTCAAAGCAATAAGAAAAAGAAATAAAGACCAAAGAAACTCAATTTGCAAAGAAAGAAGTACAGTTTACTGTGTTTTTAAATAAAAAATGTTAGAATCTGGATCCTTGTTAGGTTCATTCATCCTAAAAAAACTTGTAAACAGTTCATGAAACCACAAATGCCCGGTAGAGTGTTTTCTCTTAGAAAACCTTGTATACACAGAGATTTTCCGCTAAATAGGTTTATATGACACCTGAAGATAAACACTACTTCTCCTGTTATATGTTCTTTCCTTATTGAAGTACTATTTGGTTGAAGGAAATTATTAAAATAGCAGACCTTTTAAACCTCATTCATCTGGTCTATGGGTGATTTATTCACTATCTTATATGTGTTTTCTGAATACATGTTTTAAAAAATAATTTGGTGTTTAAGCAAACACTCTATATTTAGCTTATTTTTAAACTTCCCATTTTATTTTATTTCACTTGTTTGACTGTGTTTTCAATATCAATAACATTTAATGAGCTCTTGGAAGGTTAAAAAAAAAAAAACAAAAAAAGATAAAACTGAACTTGTGTGAACAATAGGTGTATACTGGGAGAGACAGTTTACAGGATTATTTATTACCAAGCCATTTTAAATAGTGTGAGACTTTTTTTTTTTCATTTAGAAAACTTGCTAGAATGAAATGAAATGTTTTGTTATTTAATCTGTTAATTAAGATATTGAAAGATTTTATAATACAAAGCTCTATGAGCCACTTCCCTTGAGATGGAATGACTCCCGATGAGGTCCTGTACATACCACAGATGTTTCCCTGTACAAGACCAAACTGGACTCTTACTTCTGAATGATGGTTTTCTTCCAGTTCAGAGTTAAAGGGGTAGTGAGTACTGAGGGGCCTTTGTCTTCCCTAGAAGCAGGAAGTGACGGATCACTTTTTAACTTGGTGAGAAGAGGGAATCTGGATGTAGCTGGCCATAAGATACTGTCCCCCAGGTCTTGCAACTTTCCTGCTCTGCACGGAGTACCTTTCCTTTGCAGGTTTCTGAACCAGGCTGTGGAAGAGCAGTGGGAAGGTCCTCGGTGCAAGGCACCAGCTTCCACTGAGGTCCTGCAAGCAGAACAGCATGTTGCCTAAAGGTGTTGATATTTTCTGCTTAATATAAAAAGAGTGGAGTAATGGATTCTACTGTGAGAGGATTTGACAAGGCCTAAACTGGATAAGTCTTCCTGGAGTTGCCTACCATTAGCAAAAAACAATTGTAATTTAGATACCAGTTAGAAACCAGCGTGGCAGTGTCACTGGAGAAGATAGGGAAGTAAGCATGCAGTGAGACTTGGAGCTCTGCTATAGGTATGGAGAACATTGCAAACTGGTGGACTTGCATACCTGAGAGAGTATCTTAAGTGGAGGACGAGGGAAGGTATGCCTGATATGGAAAAGCAAGAATTATCAATCCCTTATCAATTCTCCGTTATGTATAAAAGCAAAAGACCAAATGCATGCATTCTGGTGACCTGGGGAAACTGTTGAGAGGCTCTGAAAGGAACTTGTCTTGTCCCTTTTTTTCTAGAGAGAGTGTGATATGCGATAAACCAGAAATTTTGGATTAACATTAGCTATCTGTCAGAATTAGACACTCTCTTTACTTTCCTGAAAAACACTGACAATCTGAAAATGATGCATCATAATTAGGCCACTCAACAACTACCATCTGAAGCTTTGTGATACAACAAGGTCAATTTCTAGATATTTTTACTCTTGTCGTTGTGGTGAGGAACAAAATGACTTCTCCTTCTCTGTATATATTATGTATTGTAACCCAGCCATGAGCTTTTCCAGTCATCTCTTAATATGCATAAAGGAGTCTTCTAACAATTAATCTGTGAACTACTTTGTGCTTCCTCTTGCTTCTTTTTGCTTGTGGACAGAAGAAATGGTGCTGGTACTTGAGACCTAAGGAAATGGGTAGGGTCCAAAAACCAAATGCAGAAATGCATTGCCCATGAGGCAAGAAGGATAAGTTCCAAGCTCAGCCTTGGAAGTTCAGCAGATCTTCTGGATTTCGAATTACTGCTTCATTAAAAAGAGTTATTGCTTCATTAGCCATATCTGCCTGTGAAGAAATGGAGGACTTCAGTATCAGGGCTGAGTGAGGCACCTTTCAAAAGCAGCAAATCAACCTAATTTTTATAGGCCATACTATAAACTTTCTAAATATGAAAAATCAAATGCAGTATTTGAATATAGATTGCATTACACTGGAGAATTTAAAAAAAATATTTGCCTTGTACTTTTCATTAAGCTTCAGCAGCTGATTAATGTTAATGTAAATTAAATAACTACTATAATACTGCTATACAGTCTCATTGTAGAAATATTATCTTCCGATGCCAATGTTCTATTGACTGAAGAGACAGAAAAGAAAATACACTGCTGTTAAATATACTTTATACATGACCGAAAAGCAGGGAAGAAACCAAACATATCTTCTGAATGTAAAGTTCCTCCTTTCGGAATTTAGACCAGATGTGGTCTGTAAAAAAAGCCCTGGTAGTTTTATTAAGGCCATGAATGGAGGTTGTAAAAAGGTGCTGAAGCAGCTTCACGGGTCGTGGTTCATTAACTCTAATTGGCATGTCTGGATTCCATCTGATGATGATCACGTCTTTCCTTTCTCACATCCTTTTTCTCACTGTCTTCGGGTGACCGGCTTCTAGAGCTACCTTTTTCAAAAGTATTTCCAACAGTGCACCTGGGTAATATTCTAAACCACTTCAGTCATACTTGAACGTGTCTTTTTTTTCTTGGATTTGCTTCTTTTCTTATATTTTTCTTGTGTGGATCTTTCCTCTGGAGAGAACAGAACCATCGTTAATGGAAAACATATTAGATTTTGAGAGATTAAGTTACATAAAAGTTTTCCTACTTGAAAAGACTTACTTTTGGAGATCAGAAAATTCTTACAGACATTAAAAATAGCAAATGTAAAAGCCTCATTGAGCACCAAGTGCCTTCTGATTTCAGGCTTGATAAGAGGGAGTGAAGAAGCAATATTTTACATACCACCCACATAAGAAAACCACAATTTATAGTATGTGGCCATCTGTGTGTTTCCCAAGTTTTTGTTTCTTTATTAGAATTGACTGTGTGCCAAAAGCAGAACATTAACTCTACCAGCAGTGGAAAAGATATGGAATAGGTAAAGAAGTTCATCCCTTTATTTCAAGCTGTTTATGACTGAAAATTACAATTGGTGTCCTGAGAACAGGAATTAATGCTTTCAGACCTGAAATAGCACCTCCTTTTTTAGCAGTAATTTTATGGGCACAGAACTATCTGTTTTCCCCAATAAAATGAAAATATTATTAAAAAATTTTGAATTTGGAATTTATCTGGCAAGTTTAATTCCAAAACATAACTAAAACCTCATGTCATGGTAACTAGATTAGTTTAGTAAGAAAGATTGCAATTTGATTGTCTTTCAGTGTGATTTAAGTACTGTTAAGTACAGTTCTTTAAAATAAGCAAATAAATAATGCTGCGTTGTTAAACATTGATTTCATTAACATGATTGGTGGTAGGGAATTTTCTGAAATCAAGAGAAATAAGAGCTGTTTTTTGAGCTGAACATGTTTTTTGAGTTTATAAAATCACAATCTAAGATTCCATAAAGCTGTCTTTTCTTGGCTCTTAATGTTGTTATAAGTATTAAGAAATCTTTAATTTTATATCCCTGATATACTGTGCCAAAATAAAATAATCAAGTAGCTGTAAAGACGTGAAACAGTTATAACACTTCTCATGTTACTGTTTTAAGTCTGTTGAATTGTTTATACCTGTAGACTGAAGTTTTGAAAATAATTCTTATGAATCCATTTTGCCCTTATTAGCAGACAGATAACCTCCTAAAATTATTACCAATATTAAATATCTGTAATTGCATTTATTTTTTAAAATGTTTTTTTTTAGTGTATTCCATTTTTTTTAAATGATTTTGTTTTCTTTCAGAATGCCACTGTCATGAGATATTCCTATCAGAATTGTCTGATACTGATTTCTCAAAATCCTGTGGGGATTTATGTTTCTTTAAAAATGTTTCTTGTATTCTGAAATAGCAAGAAATGTCACAGGTAAACTAAGTATCCTACTTCTCACTTCTGTTAACTTGTTAAAAAGGTCGCTTTTCTACTTGATATATCACTTGCATATAGCTATCCATATGACCTATGAATGTTAGCACAGTGTTCAGGCTTATTATCTGAGCAGTGTTTTAATTCTTTTAGTTATAATCCTAAAAAATACAGTATGCATAATAAAATTAAATCAGCCTATCTTACCCATGTTTCAATATACCTTGTGACTTTTATTGAAAGAATCTTCCTCTTGTCTCAAAAAATTCTGGTGCTACTCAACAGAATAAACTATTTCATTCCAGGCTCTGCATATCAGCATTGATTTGATTCTTTTACAGCCTCCACTTTTCTATTTTTTATTCTAACTCAGGATCTAAGCGATCCCAATTTAGCTATGGCATGCTAAGTTTAATCTATAATTCTGCAGTTTTCTCCATAGTATCCATGTGTCTGAGAACATAAAACAGAGATCAAAACGACCGATTATTAGAGAGCATCTCTGGTCTTTAGTCTCACAATACTTTCATATTTTTATTAGCTGAAAATTTACTTTTTTCCTGCATTTTATCTGTAAATGAGTAGCTCACTGGCCTTATATTCACACTGCAATATCTTAACGTCAACCTGTTGTGAGCCTTTTTAATTTTCTTTAATAACAGAAGGAAGTGATAACGTGCTTAAATATACTCATAAACCATTTTTATGCAAAGCTCTAACTTCTTCAGTCTCCAGTGTTATTTTATTTCTTTGGCTTCCACTTTTCCTCTGGGAAGCTCTACTAATTTCCTTCATGCTACAGTTTCATATGCATCCTAGTCTATGTTTTCAGATGTTTGACCTTTATTAGCTATATAAAATAGAACATAGTTTCTGCTTTGATAGCATCCAAACCCTGAAATTAATCATTAAGGAGTTACTCCATTTCCAGTTCTTTTCTCCTGGACCACCACTAGTTGTTTTTAAACTGCAGTTTTTGCATAAGATGAACGTTCTTAGTCTCTGATATCTGATCTATAGAATCTACCATCAAAGAAAATGAGGCCAACATATATTTGACCTGTTGCATAAATTTGCAGCTAGGAAAAATATTACATTCCCTGAAAAGAATGCTGGTGCCTTTAGATGTTGTGAAGTCTACCTTGATTTTCTTTCTTTTTCTTTTTTTTTCTTTTGCTATTCCCTCATCTCCTTCTACTCCTCCATACTTTCTTCATAATTGGCTGGTCCCGAAGTCCTTAAGCATCTGTGTTTTTACCTTTAAAATATGCACTTTTGTTTTCACAGATTTCCAAAATAAAGTTTTCCAAGACTTAAAATATTTGTCTAACCCGTTCTTTAATTATCTTCTCCTATATTTGCATTGTTACTGGACTCAGGTCTTTGCTCTTGCCTTAGTAACATACCTTTTTTGACTTGTTCTTTCTGTTTGGGCTCATGAGTCTGATTTGTCTTATTTAGGCTATGGCCTGTATCAAATATGGCCAACTTATGTTGGTGTAACAAGTTACAGATGAGCCAGCCTACCTGTTTGTATGAGTGTTCTTAACTTGCCCCACATGCAACAAAAATGCTGCTAGTTTTCAAAACCCCTGTGTTTAAGGTATGCAAGTGTAAATTCATATATAGAGCAACAGGCAATGAAGATTCTTTCTAGAGGCAGGTGACATGGAGTTATAGAAATGTAGAAGATAGTACTTTCTCTTTCTCCTGTGCCTCCTGACCCATTAGATTATCTTCTGTAGAAATACCATTAACAATCTCTGAATCTTTTGAAATTTGGGTTGTTAGCTTTCCTCAGGTTGGAAAGACTTCTTGAGAAAGTTTCTGGAAGTCAGGAGCATCCCTTGGAATGGAACAGGGAATACAGAAGCCTTCAACAGAGGTGAGTAGATTCCTCATTGTATTTAGATGGAAGTTGCATGAAATCCAGTAATGATGAGGGAATATATTGATTTAAAAGACCTAACATTTTCAAAGCACGTTTTTTTTCTATTTAACTAAATTTTTCATATTTAGTTATGAAAATATCTACAATGTATCAATCAATACACCAAAAACTTATCTGCTCTGTTATACACCAGTTTGAGCACAGATTTAAGGCATTTTCACAGAAGTCTACTCCCACCCTTCATTCCAACCCCATCAGCCACAAACAAAAGATATACGGAACTCTTCAAGTGAAGAATACAGGAAACTAAAAGAAAACACATTTTATTTTGAGGGATGTTTCCAAGATTCCAGCCAAGTCATGCAAAAGCCTACCTAAGGTCACTTATCTATGCTTCTACAGCTGCCTCCATACTTCACAAGAACTGTTAAGTACTGGCCCGGTGAGAGCTGCCTGGGTTCTGTGGAGGCAGAGACAGAATGAGATCCAGGGAACAGAGAAGAACATCAGAGCCAAGAAGAAGTGTGAACTAATTCAGAGGCTCACATTTCAAATGTTTCTAGCTATAACAGGAGTCTGAGTACATGCTCATACAGGTAGCTTTACAATATCTTAATCATTTTCTAGGACATAAAGCCAGGAGAGATCCCTGAGATGGGTGAATCCTTTTATTCCTATATGCTTTCAGATATGAATTCTCCTATGCATAGAGAACTGGGAAGCCTCTATCCTACTTGCAAAACATAGTTCTCAAAAAACCCTTTCTAAACACCACTCAGACAGATGGAGTGCAAGAATATCATATTACTAAGGGTTAAGTAGAATTAGTAGACAGAAGAGAACAGGAGCTGGTGGAGTAATCTTTTTTATTATCTTCTTCTAATCCAAAATGTTAGTTTTTTGATCTGGGAAAGACTCCTTAACCTCTCTGGCACTTATTCTGCTATATATTTATCAGCAACATTTACCTCCCAGGGAGAGGCAGACCCTTGTATACTTCTGAGTTTAATAAGAGTCATTGAGTCATGAGTGCTACCCAACAATTCAAAAGCAATCTTATGACTCCAATATGCATTGAGTTTAGTCCTAAAATAATATGTACCAATTCTTTAGGGATTCCTGGGAAAGTCTTAATGCTCAGTTTTAACTCCCACATCATCGGTTTGAAAACACAAGGCTGTTTTTTCTTTCATTTCTATCCTCCCCTGTAGTGCTTTTCAAAGGTGGCTTATTTTTCCCAAGTTTTGCCACAAAAGGGAGTTAGCAAACTTTAAAGCCTGTGTGTTGGGAGGCAAAAGAGTGACATGAAAGCACCCTGGTAATGTTTTTGTGTGTGGGAAGGCTGGCTGTAGGCCTATTAGGTTTCTCCAGAAGTTTTCTCAGGAAAAAAAAAGCAAGGCAAGAAAACTGTCTTGCTCCTAATGACCCAGACCCCTTGAATTTTGCATTTGATTTTGATATAACTGTCTCTGAATACCTCCATTTCATTCTGATCAGAACAAGGCACTCTGTGGTCTGCTCATTGTGAAATTTTTGAGTTGAAATCCTAAATTCAATCTGCACTTGACAGAGCAGTGGCAGATGACGTTTATGAATGGAAGCATCTCATTGGTGCTTATGCTGAGTGAACAGGGAGGAAAAGCACTTATTGCTACAGGGTTTTCTTCCTGCCAGCTAAATGATATAATTTGCTAAGCACCCATTCTGGTTCTCTTCCTTGCTGCACTGGCAATCTTCTCCTTCCTGGTAGCATGCCTCTTTCAATGTTTTCTGCGCCACCCCCGAGCAATTTGGCATAGGTTCTCCAGTGAAACACGAGCACAGCCATC